AAAAAAAAAAAAGAAAAAAAAAAAAAAACCTCTCCAAGAAAAAAAATAAGACCAATGAGAGAACATGTATGTCCAAATGTATAGATTGCTGTAATAATTGAGAGAGAACTGTGTATTCTACAGAGCAGAGAGGTGTTTTTTTATTTTTTATTATTTTTTTTAACATTGATTCAGTTACTTCTTTTATGAGACAGAGATTAGAGATAGAAAGACAGGCACCCCACAGTCCCCCTGCAGTCTCAGCTAGGTTGGATCTTGGGTAGGCATCATGCTTCTGGAGTACCAGGAGGAGAACCCAGGGTCTTTCCCATGTGGGTTCAGATGTGTTACTGCTGTGCCACTGCCTAGCCCGGAGCACAGAATTTTAGAGTAGATGACTCACGTCATATTAACTCAGTGCCTTAATAGATATTGAAAGGGTACAAGAGAGACAGCTGTGCTGTTTCAGATGGTGGAGACTGCAGGATGCTCGGTGGCTGGAGAGGAATTGATGATGTGGTTGAGTGTGGGGTGAACCCTGAAAAAAAGTTAGATGAGCAGCAGCTGCCGTTGGGAAGAGCTGTGCCGTTGGGAAGAGCTGGGTGGCATGTCCGAGTGGTGCTCGGACTGCATGGATGTGGCATCTGCTTCCAGGCGAAGGTGGGGGGCTGAGCCTGGAGCTGGGGTGGGTGGCATCTAGTCCCCAGGACAAAGGAGCACGGTTCTGTGTGGTTTTGAGGGGTGGGCAGTGACAGGGCCTGGGGCTCTTCTTCTTCATTTGTAGATATTACCCGTCTTTAGACACGAGTCAGGTAGCGTGGTGGTATTGTTAGTGGTGCGGGAAAAGCCAGGAAGAAGATACACGCAGAGAAGCAAACTCTGTGTCACTTGCAGACTTCTCAAAGCAAGTGGGATGAGTGACGCGGAAGTAGAATGCAGTGACTACTTCTAGGAAGGCCGAGTGAGCTGCAGGTGTTTTCCTGGCATGTGAAGTTGTACGAGCAGATTTGATTCTGGTGGAGAGAGACAGTAGAAGACCCACTTGGCAAATCAGAGTTAAAGGGAGGAGTTTATTCCTGTAACAGTGATGAGTGAGAGAAGAGAGGACTAGGTGTGAGATCCATAAATTGATAGAGGAAAGGGTGACTGCTAGAATACAGGGCGGTGGTACGGAGCCCCAGAGCATAAGCAGAAGTGAGTCATTCTCGTAACATTCTCCTAACTCCGCTCTGTGCAGATGGCCCGTGGGAGCGAAAGGGTTTTTATCTGTACCGTACTCGGTTTTAGTAGGCTGCTGTCCTCTATTTTATTTTATTATATTTTGCCACAGGGCATGTATGCTCCCTGGAGAGAGAGGGAAAGTGAGAGATCACTCGCAAGGGGTGGTCACAGTCTCTTCTCTTGCCATTCTCCTCTCGGGATTTTGGGTATGCATGCACACTCACCTAGTGAGTTGAGTTTGAAGCTGCTGGGTCCCGGACTTGAACTCTGGTTGGCCATGTGGTCTAGCAACGTAACCACTACACCATCTGCTGGTCTCAAAGTCAGCCTTTCTCTGTGGAGCTGGGGAGGCATGGGCCCCTTGGACACACGGTAGTCAACCAGAGGCAAGTAGGTGGAAGGGCAGGGTAGGGTAGTGATGGACAGCCCCTGGGGTGTGTGGGCAAAAATAAATCCTGCATGCAAAATGAGCACAGCACGGTCAAGTGCACGATTGTACTTTTTTCTCTAGTCATGAAAACAATAGAAAAATAGAAAAAAAATAACAAAACATGTCATGACGTTCACAATAATCCAACAGTACAGAAAGCTCAAAAGGAACAGCATGTGTTACCAGATGATCACGTAGAGCCTCTGACCTGTGTGGCCTCACGGTATTTTGATTCTCAAAGATGTAGGACTTGGCCCCTGACGTGGCCCCTGAAATCCAAGCATCTGCTCATGCTCTGAGCGGAACACTTAGAGCAGAAAAGTGAGAGATTGATGGGACCAGCAATTAGCGTAATGGCTATGTCGCTGGACTCCCATGTAGTCGACCGTGGTTCGAGTCTCGGACCCGGTGGCTTAAACTGACGCCAGGCACGTGTGCGTGCGTGCCCAAGATCCTGAAAGGAGAATGGAGGAGAAGGGATTGTGGCGTGGCCATCCCCCTGGAAAGTGATTTCTCGCTTTCTGTCTCTCTGTCTCTCTCTGTCATTCTGGTAAGTACACATGTCCTATAGCAAAAACCTCTCAAAAAAACCAAAACCAAAACAAACAAACAAAAAAACCAAACAAACAAACAAAGAAAAGTGAGAGATTGCTTTATTCCTGTCCCAGTTCTTGTTGAGAAGAGACTAAAGGTTTAAAGTGACGGTTTGTAATGTTGATGGTTTCTCACATTTTGTTCAGGATTAAACAGTAAGGGAAGTGGATCCAGTACTATTTATTCTTTATCGTGTAGCTGAGATATCCACTCATGCTGAAGAAACCAGGAACTGTCAGGGTTTTGTGGCAGATCATCCCATGAACGCTTTATTGCTTCATTCTATCGAAGTAGCAGGGCCGTTTTCCTTTCTGACCTGTCGACTAGCACAGAGCCAGGGAGGGAGGGAGGTGGTCCTGGTTGCTGTGGCAAGAGGGCTTGGGCACTGCACAGCCTAACCCTCCTCTGCCCTGCCACTCGCTGGTGCTGTGGCTTTGGGCAAGTCACCGTACCCCTGTCAACTTCCTTTCCTCATCTGCAAGTGGGGCTGAGAAGCACACCTCTCTGCCTAGGTTGTCCTGAAAGTTAGACGATCAGGGACCAGCAGATGGCGAATGGTTACGTCATTGGACTCCTACAGAGTTGACTGCAATTCGAGTCCTGGACCCAGTGGCTTAAAACTCACCTGGGTGCATGTGCATGCGTGCCCAAAATCCCGAAAAGAGAGGAGATGGGATTGTGATGGGGCCATACCCCTGGGGGGTGATTTTTCTCTGGTGAGAGCACATGCCCTATAAAAAAAAAAAGTTATAAGATCATCTGTGAGAACTCTGCAGCCTCATGGGACTCTGGGATGCCTTGGGCTTGCTGATACAAGAATGACAGGGTGGTGTGCCTGATGCTGACAAGCGAGTGGACGCGGGCTTTGTACGGAGTCCTCAGTCACGTCCGTGAGCAGTGCTGGGAGGCGAGCCTGTTCTTTTGTCC